TTACGAGGACTATGCTGTCCACTTGGTTCCACCGCTGGACCAACCGCTCCACGTGCAACAGTCCACCGCATGCACGGTTTCATCACCATCGGCAATTGATTCGGCAGCTTCGCCGCAATCTATCGCCGGGGATTCGACGTCATGGTCAAGACTTGAAGAGCTCGACCCATTGACGTTCACAGACTTCCAGTGGATGCCCGTTCCCTCGACCGGACGATTGCCGAAACCGCATTGCAACGTGCTCATGGCACAATTGCGGGACTACGTGCACACTGCAGTACCAGCTCCGTTGATGGACGCCGGAGCAGAGGTTGTCGACCTTAGAGGTTGTCGACCTTCACGCTTACATCGCGAAGATCGACCGCGAGTTCAAGACGCAACGCTATGATGACATCGACGCACCATTGCTATACGTACGCATTCAGATTGGAGAGGCGACCTGCAGTGCCTTGATCGATTGCAGAGCATCTTGCAACTACATCAGCCAGGACTTCATGGTACGCGCCGGCCTTGGCCCACGTGTCCGGAGGAAGTCCCAGCCTACGCAAGTCACTCTGGCAGGCGGTCATACGCACAAGTCCATCGACCGGTTCATTGACGCCATCCCAGTGTACTTTGCCCCTCACGCAAGTGAGGCGGTGTCCTTTGACATTCTGGACACCAAATTCGACATGATCTTGGGCATGTCATGACTGCGAAGCGAGGATCACCCGGTGAACTTCTTCCACCGCACCATTCACATCTGTCATCGGAACGGAGTACTAGTTCCATGCACGGTGCCTCTTCCTCAGCCTTCGATCAGCTGCTGCGTGGTATCCGCCGCAAGCATGCGAGCTTCCATCATCAGAGACGACATCGAGGAGATGGGGGTGTGTTTTCTCCACGCCCTCCCGCCCCATGACGCTTCATCGACGGACTCACCTTCGGATCCACGCATCACCGAACTTCTCGACGCCTACAGCGACATGTTCGAAGGCCCGCACGGGGTAGTACCGGATCGACCCATCCGCCACGAGATTATCCTCGAGGACGGGGCCGCACCTCCGCGTGGTTGGATCTACCGAATGAGCGAGGAAGAGTTAAGTGTGTTTCGGGCACAACTCGACGACCTTCTAGAGAAAGGTTGGATTCGGCCTAGCTCATCGCCATACGGTGCTCCTGTTCTCTTCGTCCGGAAGAAGAACAAGGACCTGCGGTTGTGCATCGATTATCGCAAGCTCAACGCGCAGACGATTAGGAACGACGACCCTCTCCCACGCATCGACGACCTTCTCGAGCGATTGGGCGGCGCCCAATTTCTTCTCTAAGCTGGATCTCAAGTCAGGGTACCACCAACTCGAGATTCGCAAGGAGGATCGTTACAAGACCGCGTTCAAGACACGGTATGGGCATTTCGAATGGCTGGTCATGCCATTTGGCCTTACGAATGCCCCAGCCACTTTCCAAGCGGCTATGACGACGGAGTTCCGACACATGCTGGATCGTTTCGTACTTATCTACCTCGATGACATTCTGGTTTACAGTCGGAGTCTGGACGAGCATGTGGAACACCTGCGCACCGTTTTGGAGCGGCTACGACAGGCCAAGTACAAAGCAAACCGCGACAAGTGCGAGTTCGCACATCAGGAGCTGGAGTACTTGGGACACTATGTGACGCCGCAAGGCATCCGTCCGCTTGCGGACAAG